AAACAATGAATCATGGAACACTGCATCAAAAACTAATGATGTAATGTATGGTGGTTAACATAACAATAAAAAATTATAAAAAAAAAAAATGGGAAGCTAAGACAGCCCTAGCTGTTATGGTCCTTCCTGTTTTTAGCTCTATGTGACAGAACAGATTATCACTTTGAATACCAAAGTACACTGTCTATGGGATGAGTTTTTTCAAGTTTGTCAAAAGCTAAAATAAGAATTGAAGAAAAATTTAATGGCCCTCCCCTTTGTTAATTACTGAAAAATAGTCATTGGCTTATTTTACTTACATCCCATAGCATCTGATTGGACTTAATCCAGAATGGCAGAGACTGTGTGAAAGAATACATTAACATTTAACAACAACATTCATTGATTAAACCTTAGAAAAGTAAAGGTAAATGCAGTTCCTCAGTGGTGTTTCACAGTGATGTGTCAAACAATATGAATCCTAGAGAGGAACTTCTAGAAGAACAACATCTGATGAAAAGCTTTATCATTATTTTAGGAGACTTGATTTGGAAAACGAGTTTGAATGAAGATTCACTTACTTTGTCAGAGTAAATGCCAACTTTACATTTGTTCATGAAAGAAAAGAAATTACTAGATTTAAAGAATGATTGCATCACTAAGTACATGCAAAGAGATCAGATCATCAAAATGTGGGTGACTGGGGGCTCCTGGGTGGCTCAGTCGGTTAAGTGGCTGACTTTGGCTCAGGTCATAATCCCAGGGTCCTGGGATCAAGCCCCACATCAGGCTCCCTGGTTGGCGGGGAGCCTGCTTCTCCCTCTCACCCTGCCTGCCCCTCCCCCGGCTCATGCTTTCTCTCTCTCTCTCTCTCTCTCTCTCAAATAAATAAAATCTTTAAAGAAAAATGTGGGTGAATGATGAGAAAGAAGTCAATAGGAGTAAAACAGTAAATACTCTTCTCTCATCCGCTGTCACATGTTTGTAAAGTTGCTCCTGGACAGTAAGTACCAAGAAAATAAAGAGATCACTTTAAAGGGACTTCACCAGGAAGTATGGGTAGGCAATTTCATGCATAAAATTGGACTATCAGACTAAAAAATAATTATATTCATAAAAGCACACTCAAGTTTCTCATTAAAAATTTTAAAAACATTTTATTTCTAAGTTTTATACAAATTTACCATTTATTATCTTTCACTTGGTAGTTTTATTGTAATTATATAATATAAAGAAAATATAATTATTATTTTCACCAAGACCCACATAAAACATCCCCCAAATACCTCAAATTTACATAGTGTGCTGTATCATTATGTCCATTTTCTAGGTGAGACACTGACATGGAGTCTGAAAAGCCCTACATACAGCTCAACAGTGTCTAATGTGGAATTATCAAATTTGAAAGAATACATGAATAAATACCTTCACCCCAAAATGGTGGAAAACTTCAAAGGAACCAGAAAAACTGTGTTGATTTATATAAAGTCCATCTCTACAAAACTTTTCAAAAATAGTTCCACCATATTGACAACAAAAAAGTGAAACCACAAATCTGAAGACGTAAAATAAACATAAGTGATCAAAAATGACAGCTAAACTTCAAGCCATGCCATCATTGTAATCACATGATTAATTTGAGTAAATATTAGGTATTAAAAGCCCAATAATTCCTTCACATTCTAATTTGAGTTATTTCATTTTAGTAATGGCTCTATTGAGGAATTGATCAATTTTTTCTTCTGTTCTTGTGGTCTTGTCTTGTTATTTTCCCCTAAATTTATCTGGCAAGATGAATCAAAGAGGACATTTTTCCCTCAAAGAGGACATTTTTCCTTCATGTTCTCTAAAGATCTACCATATAGGATCTTCTAGAGAAAGAATACAACGGCAAGCACACTCTTCTCATAGGAAAAGCACTAAGGGGCTCCTAACCACTCCAACAGGAATCATACCAGACCTCAAAACTAACACTGAAAATGCACAGACAGGACATCAGAAGTGGGACATCAAGACAGAGTATTATGAGCTATTTCCCCATAATGCCTGATCACATTTACTACCTGGTTATATAGAGCTTTCATTCCAGGAAGCACGAATGCAACATACTCACCATAATAATGGTCAGCAGCAAAATTTGGGGCATGAGGAAATAAAAAAAGAAGGAAGAGCATCTACCATATAGGCTGTAACAATATTCAATTCTCTAAGTCTAATAAAGAGTAAGTCTTCAAATATAGTAGGCATACAATAAAACATTTGAAGCAAAATCAAGCAATGAGTGCTTGGAACCTCAAAAATTATTAAAATCATAGTAGTAATAATAATTACTGCTATTGGTATTAGTCTTCATTATACTATTTTTATAGTAAGGGAAGTCACAGACACTGTATCTCTGAAGTCTCAAATCCTTAATAAATACATAGAGTTTGTAGGAAACACAGCCTTATCGGAATGCCCTTAAAATTCAACTAAAAGGTAAAATTAAAACTTCAACTAGATAGCAGCTTCTAAGACATCAAAACCATTTAAGTCCCTTATTGTCTTTGGTTATTTTCCTTAATTCCAACCCTGAAAAAATAAATGAATTTAGGACATTAAAATCAGATACATTGTATCTGGACTGAAGTTACATTTTACTAAGTATATTAAAAATGTCTAGCATTATGTATGAGCTCTGAACTCTTAACAAGACTTGGAATTATTACAAAATTTAAAAAGCTAAACATTTAGAAAAGAATTATTGATATAACATATATTTTACATTCAAAATCAGGGGTTATTACAATGCAGTTTTCAGTTGTCAGTAGAGGATCAAATGCAACAAAAAACATATTGCAACACATTTATTTAAGTTAGCCTAAAAATATCACACGGGTTCAAACACTGCAAAACAAATATTCAGTCAGTTGAGTCACGAAGCAGTTATTTGAACATCAAGACTACAATAAGTGGGTATATACAGTATAATACAGATATGTAATAATGATAAATATGTTAAACAACTTTTTGCTAGTTAACAAAGAATCCCTTTTAGGTTATTTTTGGCATGATGCTGGGGGCTCTGTCAAAGAACTGGACACCAGGAATTTGCTAATTTATAGGCTCCCAGCGTGTAGCACTTGGACTCTGCAAGTAGATGCATAGCTAAAACGTAGGCTTGTTCATATATTCTTCCATTGTCTGAAAGAGAACAATAAATTAGAACAATTTCCCCTTAAACCGCAGCCTTTAGCAGAAGGTGAAACCTTTTTTGTTCTTTTACTTACTCATTTTTTGCAGTTACTGAACAGAAGTTCCCGAAACATGTATGGACATAAATCTTTGCATCCTGATCAAGAACAGTGGTTCAAAGTTTGAGAATAATTTGCATACATCTCCATATGGCTGGAACTAAATAAACTAAATAAACTCTGCTCTTTCAACAGAGAAAGAGCTGAGCTTGATCATAAAAAGAATGTTGGATAAGAAAAATACTAAAGCATCAGCGGCCAGCATATCACTGTTGACTTCAGATAAATGTGCCTACTGAAACGATCATGAGAACCACCTCCAGGCACATGTATTAGAGAAATCTCAGTTTCTGCTACAGATTCTGTGCAAAACATCTTTTTACACTTACTGGCAAGATATAAAGGATAAACAGACTACGATTCGTAAGAATTTCTTCCATGTAGGGGCTCCTGGGTGGCTCAGTCGGTTAAGCGTCTGCCTTCGGCTCAGGTCATGACCCCAGGGTTCTGGGATCAAGCCCTGCATCTGGCCCCCTGCTTGGCGGGAAGCCCGCTTCTCCCTCTCCCACTTCCCCTGCTTGTGTTCCCTCTCTCGCTGTGTCTCTCTCTCTGTCAAATAAGATCTTAAAAAAAAAAAAAAAAGAATTTCTTCCACGTATTTTGAAACGGCTTTCCTCCAAAGTATGCAAACTTTCTTCATCCCCAACAGTTGGCAAGTTTGCTAACACGCCACAAGGCCATAATTTTTTTCCAGCACTTTTAAAAAAATGTTTGGACAGATTCGCAATTAGAGGTAGAGTTAAAATATACAGTGATGTTGCAAGCCCTTTACCATGCATGACAAATGGACTTTCTCTTGCATTCTTTGCTATTGTAAACATATATATTTGTGTAACAGAGTGGTTCCTGGGTTGAATCAATAAGGAAGTTCAAGGGGACAGCCTTGGGTAATGCCCCTGCCGTTTCCATGTGAGCCAGGGTCAGCTCAATCAGCAATGTGCAACCTGTTCTTAGGCTTGAACCTCAGGGTACATGATTCACTTGTACCTGCCAGGGAAGACATTGATCAGCATAGCATGGGCCAAACAGAGCAAGGTCATGGCTAAGCAACATTGCTCAGAGGGTACTAAAGTTAGAAATCAGGTGTTCTAACTGGTTTTCACCAGCTCTGTTTAGAATTCCAGTGTTCCTCAGCTGAAATACTTGTGCTCAGTCATCCACACTTTCTTATAAAGCCCTTACACCTCTTACATGAGCACTGGCCAACAGAAACCCACACCCTAAGACCTTTGCCCTGTATCTCCTCTTACGGAAGATGCTGGTGTCTTTAAAGTTAGCCGGAGTATCACATTGGCCTGGGGCCCATGCCTATTTTGTAGCATCTAGAGTTTATATCATTAGAAAAGGAATACAAAGGGGAAGCTGGGTGGCTCAGTCGGTTAAGCATCCAACTCTTAATTTCGGCTCAGGTCATGATCACAGGGTTGTGAGATCGAAACCCTGCACTGGGGCTCCCCCAGCATGGAGCCCACTTAAGATTCCCTCTGCTTCTCCCCCAACCCCAGCTTGCACTCTCTCTCTCTCTCTTAAAAAAAAAAAGGAATACAAAGATACAAATACAAAATTGGGTATAAAGTTTATTTAGAATGAGAAAAGAAATAACAGATGCTAACTTTTTTAAAGAATTTATTTATTTATTTGAGAGAGAGGGAGAGCACAGAGGGAGAGTGAGAGGGACAAACAAGAGAGCAGGGAGCCCGATGTGGGGCTTGATCCCAGGACCCTGAGATCATGACCTGAGCCAAAGGCAGATGCTTAACTGACTGAGCCACCCAGGCGCCCCCAGATGATAAATTTTTTTAAAAAAGATTTTATTTATTTATTTGTCAGAGAAAGAGAGAGAAAGAGCACAAGTAAGGGGAGCAGCATGCAGAGGGAGAAGCAGGTTCCCTGCTGAGCAAGGAGCCCGATGCGGGGCTTGATCCCAGGACCCTGAGATCATGACCTGAGCCAAAGGCAGACGCTTAACAGACTGAGCCACACAGGCATCCCTCAGATGGTAAATTTTTAAAAGATGACAAATATCGCAGAATTCAGAACAACAGCATATGGTTTCCATTCATTAAGTACCTGACACACTTTATAATATGTTCATTGCATGGCTACATATGCTTTGCAGTTAGATACCCTACCTTTGCAAATCTCACCATATGAGCCTGCAGCCTTGGAAGGGGCTTGAGCCAGCAAAAGGCTCTGGGATTGTCACTTTACTGACTTCATGGTTCATTGGCCTCTAGTTATCAGCCCTGCTTCACAGCACTGACTAACTCAGTCTGCTAAAGACTGCACGGACTGCCCTTTCTGAACCATGCTGTTCCCCAGACTACATGAACCAATAGCACACAAGGTCTGCATTTTCTTGAGCTTGCCCCTTTCAAGGTTGGAACAGACTTTTAAGAATGACACAACCTTAAAGAGCTCTAACCTGGCCATTTACAGGAGGACCCAAATCTGTCCCTCAAGACCCCATCTGCTATCCATCTTGTACCCCCACACTTCTTGTGGATTCAGCACTGTATGCGCTACAACTTTTTACTGCACTATGGTTTCACTTAGCTGTTAACATGGGTTGTGCTTTTAAAGGTGACAATGTTGGGGTGCACCTAGCCATTTCTCACACATCCACACATACACAGGCAAGATATCCTGTTGCGTGAGCTAATGAGGTACACTTTGACCCTCAATTCTCACCCTGTGGGGAAACCTCTTCTGTTGGTCGCCCCTGCTGGCGATGCCAGGAATTGCAACCCCTGCCTCTAATGAGGACCATCTTTCCCTTTCAGCTTTTCTCTTCTCACTCTGCACCACCGCCCACAGGTCGTCATCCTCAAAATAAGGCACCTCCTAAAGTCACCCCCAACCACTTAAACTGTTCTTTTCTTAATCCGTATTACTAATGTCAAGCCCCAGTACACAGAATAATCCTTGAGCATTTGGAGATTTAAGACTATGATAATCTTCTTACTAAATATGTGAGGACAGCCTTTCTATTCTAAGAAACCTTTCTTGGGTAGGAGTTGGGGAAAGTTCCAGGAGCTAAAAAGCACAAGCAATATTACAAAGGCCTCCCTTAACCTTTAGTAGCTACAAGTATGTGCTCAGGTCCAGAGAACAGGGAAAAAAAAGAAAGCATTTTTTTTCTTTTATGTAATTATGTTACTTGTGCCCCTTCATTCTAAACATTTCTGATCAGATATGCACAATTTCTCAATCAGCTCCCCAAATGTTCACTGATTCACTGACTTAGCTGAAGTACCCAGAGCCCAAGAGAGCACTGATAACACTGTCTCTATTTGGCAGGTGCTGTGATTTCACCAAGAGAGATTTGGAAGGCAGTCATGGCATTGCCTGCTCACTATGGGGATGCAGGGGCTAAATGGAGGGGCTCCTGAGGCCTACCCATCAAGACCTTTCACTCGATTGCCAGGGACATGAACTACCAGTTAATGTTTACTTGTGAAAGGGCTCTCTCCTGAAATCTGTGCTTCCCAGAGTTCCATGGAACCAGATTCATGGCAAGCTCTTTGAAACTCTATATATTTCTTATAGAGAAGGAATTCAAAATAACCCAGGTGTGTCTTGGCCCCAATTCAAAAAGCTTTAATTACTGTGAGTGCCAAAGACCCTGCTAAAAAGTCCCTTTCTCCTGTAAGGCTTAGACTCCACAGTCAGGGCCCTAAGGACAGAATTATAAATAACACCTGGCATATTTTAAGAAAGGTTGTTCTGTGGAATTTCCAAACCACTGAGTTCTCAAGCACCTTATAAAATTCCCTTCCTGTGGCATTTGGAGAGAGCCAAGTAAACAGCAGAAAGTTTAAGTGCATTTTTTGAGGCGAGAACAACTCTGGAAAGAAATGCACCAGCTTCCTAAAAGGCACGCGCAGACACTTCGAGGTACTGCTTCTACAGAGGTCTTCCTCAGGGTCCATTCACCTGAGGACTGGTTCCCCTGGATGGGCAGGAGCAAGTCATCGGTTCAGGGACATGCGCAAAAAAGGGGCTGGGAAACGATGCCTGATGTTGTTTTATTAACACAATCAGTATCTTCTTTCTCAAAAGGCAGGAAGAATGGCTTTAATGCCAATTTTTAAGAGAGAGTTTATGATCCTCTGGGATCTCCTGACCAGCTACTGTAAAACAGGCAAGTGGAAAGACCCAAGGACGCTGTGGGAAGAAGTACCCAGGGTGGTGGAGCCGGGACAGAGCTCAGCTTTGTGCCAGAGCTGGTGGGGTCACCTCATTAGGGAGGCCAAAGGTCAGAGGGGAGATGTGCTCTTTCTTGGTGTCCTTCGGAGGAGTGAAGGGGCTGATGTAGGTGAGTCCCCTTACTGGGTACAATGCCAATCTAGCCTGCTTCTAAAAGACCCACTGTATTTTATATAAATATCACAGAACCAGGAGCACATGGATGCTTCTGGGCCCATTTATACCTTGGCAAGCAAGCCACAGTATTCTCAATTTATTTATGCAAATAGGAGCACACATGCAGCATCACCAGGAGGTGTGAGAAATTTTAATTAAAATGATAAATGCCATCTTCAATAATAAAGCTCTAATATCCCTGGCAAATGAAATAACGACGTACTCCTATTCTCCTTTCCCAGGGTAGCGCAGATATTTTAATGAAAATCTTTTTATACCTCTCGTAAAATCCTTGAAAAAAAATAGCACCAAGCTTTTGATACCTTTTTGACAGTTAGGCATCCTCACTAAAAAAAAAAAAAAAAAACTCAGCCAAACATAAAGAACAAAGATTCTGGAGCCCAATGTCCTGCGTTCAAATCTCTATTCCACACTTACTGGCTGTGTGACATCAAGCAGGTTGTTTAACCTCTCTGTGTCTCAGTTTACTCAGCTTCACAATGAGGGCAAAAAATGCTACCCACCTCTTAGAGTTATTGTGATAATTAAATGAGTTAAAACAGGTAAGTTGCTTAGAAACTGCACTCAGCATAGAGGAAGCGCTCAATAAGTCTCTGCCAACATATCATCATCATCATCACCATCATCATCATCATCTTCCCCCATGGCACCAATGCTGGGTACTGACCTCCTGTAACATATCAGAATCTTCAATGGCTTTGACAGCAGACTTTTTGGACGTTTCCTGAATTTCTCCACCCATTATAAACTCGTCAAGGATAAAATAAGCCTTTTCGAAATTAAAGATAATATCCAGCTCACAGACCTGGTAGACAAAAACAAATGTTTTGATAAACTTGCAGGAATATCAGGGCAAACATATGTCAGCGTCTCAAGCTTTCTCAACAGTTACACCCATGTGGCATACCAAAGATAAAACCATCAGATGGTATCGTAAGGACTGAGAAACAGAACGAGGGGATCCCAGGCCTTTAGCAAAAGTAAAACCACATTCCATTAAGCAGGCCATGTCCCTAAATAATATTCCTTTATGTCACAACAAGAAATTTGAGACGGGACAGGAATCAGGCAGCACGAGCTCATATTTCCATCTGCACGAATAGAAGCCAAGTCCCCACTGCAAGTCAGGCAGAGTACAACGCCTCCTTCCTCCTGCTCGCCTGGCTGGAAATCTTGGCTCCTAGCTTTAGGACTCTCAGAAGCAAATTAGCTCAACTGTGCTAATTTTTCTCAAAATTATGTCACAAGCCAGTGGTTCTCAAACTTCAGAGTGTATCCGAATCCCCCAGAAGGCTCCTTAAGGGACACAGTGCTTGGGCCCCAGCCCCGGAGTTTCCGATTCGGTGGGTCTGGGTAAGGCCTGAGACTCTGCACTTGTAACTGGTTCCCAGGTGATGCTAATGAGGCGGGTCTGGGGACCACACAGGGAGAACGACTGTCATAGACCAAAACAGAGTCCGATAGATTTTGCTGTGTAAGTGAAGCAAGCGACAAGAGCACCCCCACCCCCCATAATCCAGATAGGGCTTGTTTCCAGTTCCCTGGCCAGACCAGCACTCAGGCGCTCTCCTGAGGTTTTCCTTCTCGCTAATTCCCCAACACTTCCGTTTCGGGTTCCACACCCTCTGGAAGGCTTCCACCTGCAAGTTTTTAGCCCTCCCCCACCTTCACTTCTCAGCAATACTGGATACCCTTCACCAGTCTTGTTCCTGAAAATCGTCTCTCCCCTGCTCCCTGACTTTGGCAATGCCATTCAATGCCTGTTCCTGTCTTCCATCTCTGCTGAATCCTGAATCCTTCTCAGACTTGTTGGATGATCTCTACCCCTACTTCACATTTGGTTAGGAAGTATTTATGGAGTTCTTGGGACAGAATCAGCAAAGCCAGCCTCATGGCTGCATGTGGCTTACATTCCAGTGACCCACCTTCTGCTTAAATGCTGGTGTTTTTCATGAAAGCCTCTACTCTTCGCCCTGCGTATATTATAGACAATGCCATGGATGCTCTACAGCTGTGTCTGGCATGCAGGTGTCTTAACAAACCCAGATGTCTAGCCCTGATCTCCTTCTGGGGTGAGTCCAATATTTCCACCTGCTCATTAGACCTCTCTGCCTGGATATTCCTCAGGTGCCAAACTGAGGTTAAGCGTATTCTTTTCCCTGTAGACCCTGTTTTGCTTCATAGCTGCAACCTCTATCTGTGGCTCAGTCGAATTCATCCCACAGATCCACTTCTTTCCCCCTCCCCCTCATCCCTCTCTCTCCTTCAGTCTCATCCCTCTCAGTCTGGTCTCCAATTCCTATTTATTCTATCATGGAAATTAATCCCAGCCCTTCCTGTCTTCTCCCCGTTCACCACTGTTGCTCTGGCCTGCAACCTCTCATGAAAGCCACTGCAATGACCTAGGCGGTGTCCATCTGCACTCAAGGCCAACAACCATTAACACTGTGCTGAAGTACCGATCTCTTTCCTCTCCTGTGTAGGGTCTTATGTTAAGGACAAAGCTTCCATTCCTCCGCCTGGCATATAGGACTCCTGACCACCCAGCCTGGGCAGGCTATCTGCTGCCCGTGTCAGCACTCAGTCACCCCATGTTACACCCACACTCCACTAACTCACCGGGTTCTCTTATGCCTTTACCCTTTGCCCATTCCAGCAATTCCTGCGATGGCCCCCAGTTGGCCTTTTCTTTATTCTGCTGGCAAAATGAAGCTCATTTTTCAAGGCCAGATTCAAAAGTCAGGAGCACAACGATTCCACCGAAGCCTTTTTTCCCCCATTCGGATTTCACACCGCTTGCTCTGTGTTCTCTCTTTCTGTGTATGCTGCCTGATCAATCTCTCCCCCTGCCCCAGTACTGTGAGCTCAGGCACAGACCTTATCTGATCAGTCATCTCGCTATCCCTGGTATCTAGCCCATAATAGGACGCAGTACACATCTGCAGGATAAATGAATCAGTCATCGCTTAGGCCTTGTTTCTATGATGCTGGGAATTAATGGCTTCCCAGACCAACAGTTCTCTGATGCTGCTGAGTGCTATAACTTTACATAAAACCCATGTCAACATTTTAGCAAAGAGTTTAGGTCATACATTTACAATTTAGGTCAATAAGCTTGCATACTCCACAAGGTAAATGGTTAGGTAAATACCGCTATCATAAATGGCCAGCTAAGAAAAACTCACCTAATTCATCCGCAAAGGTCATGGTCTCCTCATTCATTAGAAAGCAGCATCAAATGGGTAAATCAATAACAAGTGGGTTTATATATCTAGAGCTACTTCCCTCCTCCCTCAACAGTCTGTCTATCTCTGCCTGCCCTGATGACATGGAAATTCCACGTAGAAGTTAGAAAGAAGGAGACAGATTTCTACGGACGGCTATGGAAAGAACTCCAAGATTCATTTGTAAGGGCAGGGAGAAAAAGTTGCAGAATAATATGCATAATGTCATAATATGCATAATCCCATTTAAAAATAAAACTGTATATGTCTAGAAGGATATGTAAAAAAATACACAATTTTAAATAATACAGATAAACAAAAAGAAAGCACAATAGATCAGGCATCCATGCTCATTAGAGAAGGTACGGGAAGCAAGCAGTTACCAGAGGTCAGAAGAGGCAGGAAGTCAGGAGTTATAGTAGCAAGAGCTGAGGAACCTCAGAGTTCAAGGCAGGCGTAGACCAGGAGTCCGAGACAGACAGGAGCCTCATTAGGAGAAACCAGCAATTAGAATCCTGAAAGATGAACCTGACAGATACTAATGCAAGTTCTCTAGTTCTCTAGGACAATCTCAAACCCGACTCTCAGACAGGCAACCTGCAGGGCTGGCCAGCAGCCATGGGGCAATTAATTTATTGCATCTAGTTTCAAGAGATGGGAATAAAGTAACATGGCATGCAAAGCCAGATACACACACACACACACACGCACACACACACGCACACACAGAGGCAGCTTGGATATACAATTACTATCTCTAGATCATAAGGAAACAGATGCACAAGTTCCATTGAAATTATAGAGAGTTACAAATGAGCAACTATTTCATATATGGCAACTCCAAAATGCTACTTCTTTGGTGATTCTTTGATCCTAACCCCAAGGGGTTACTGTATCTGCGAGTAAGAACAGGAAATATCTCCCAGAGCACCTTAGACCAAATGCAGACCAATTACTCAAATACTTGTGAGTCCACCTCAAGGGTACTGTCCCCGGTACATCAGGAATATGCCCTTGATGCTCAAATGACCGCATTTCATCTAATTATGCAAAAACAAGTGGTTTCCATGTTTATAAACACATGAGACTGTTAATTTCTTTTCTCATTTCTTGTGTATCTGTATTCTGGAAGAAAGCTTATAAAAGGCAGAAACAGTGATAATTTAATTTTACCCTTGATCTCTTAGCCTATGCTTTACTATAATTTGGACTGAGGGTCTACTCTTGTAGCAGAATACATGATGCAGAAGATTATTTCTGGCATTTCAATAACTAAATACTTCTGGATAGAGTCTAAGAACCTTCTCTTACTAAATTCTGTTCTAAAGTAAATACAAAAAGTTTAAATTATATATAGTAAATGTATAAAACCATACATACAATAATTACAGTTTAAGGTACAATGACATAGCAATTGACAGTTTGTATTGTTAATTACACTGTCGCTTCGATCCTCTCAACAGCCCCGTGAGATTAGCAAAGTAAATATTTCTATTAATCTTTTTGAGTGTTATTTTTCTTATATGTAAATTAGAGATCTATCCCGAGACAAAATCATGGGTCTGGTTAGTGAGTGAGTGGACACCAGGACCCAGCAGGACTCAGAGCCCTCCTCTTCCTCCCAGAAAACTTCCTAAATCAAGATCGAACCTCTCTGGGGCAGCAACACCCATACTCTCTGAGCACATCCGTAAAAACTCACACTACAGTCTGCAATGGGAAAATATGCAGGTGGCTAAATCCTCAGACAGACCTTTATCAACTGGGAAATTCTGGGGCATTTCCTCTTAGCCTCCTTAAATTGGGGTTAATGCTGTTTACTGAAGGTCGAAAGATTAACCATTTAATCCTTGTAAATCTCCCTGGAATTGAAAAATGCTCAAAAAACACATAAATTAGTAGCCAGAGATTTTGATTTATCTGTCCCCACAGGAAAGTAATATTTTCCAGTGCTATAAGAGAAGTTTGGTACAAAGTTTTCTCTTCGATAATATTAAGGGCAGAATTCCAGGAGACCTTCAGGATTAACACAAGAGGAAAAGAAAGCCAAAGAGAAATATATTATTCCTGAGATGATGTCAATGAGAATCAGTACTGGTAGGCTTTGCTCATCACAGTTAATTAATAAGAACTGAACACCTACTGGGCAGATAGCCTTGAATTGCTCTTAGCGGCTCTTGGCTTAATAAAAGATTCATTGAATTTTTTAGTGAATTAAATTTTGGTCCATGGGAAAGACAGAGCTTCTAAAGGTACGCCAAAATAGGATGAAAAATTAATGTTAGAGAAATAGGAATTCATTCTGATTCTCTTATATCTTAACTGGGCTCAGCTTTGGTGAAGGTGATTTAGATTCTCTTAAGAAAGCAATGAGTTCTCAAATATCTAATATTTGGTCAGATAAGACTGACATCAAAATTTAACCTCCATTCACATTATCGCAGGCAGGGAAATCTAGGAAAACACAACAGGTCAAACCAGAGTGCAGAAATTAGGGGCAGAAGGCAGGTCCTGGGAAAGCCTGGGCCTCAGGAAAACACTTTCAGGCCTTTTTTTACAAAAGGCCAAGTTTGCAGTGGATTTCAAAATGTCAGGCTTCCTTTGAATATTGGAAAGCGTAAAATTAAATAATCTCACATTCAAAAACATGCAATTATACACTTGCAAATCTCTCTTTAAAAAACGAAAATAAACATGGGGAGCTAAGAGAAAGAGAAAGAAAAAATGGTCTGGCTGTCTTACTCTCTATACTGACCAACGACCTAAAATCTACAAAGCGACATTTAAGGTCATCTTCTAACATCATTTACGAAGGGAAATAAAGGGGAATAATAAGGATGAAGGGAAGGAGGGAAAGAAAATTCTTTCAAAAACCTTTCAAGTACTCACCCTTGTGAAAATTGTTGCAAGTAACCTGATAAAACCCTGGCCGATGCTGCAAACGTTACTCATTCCATTGACCAGAGCACAGAAAGTCTTGTGGAAGCAAACCGTCCCAACAACGCTTAATAGAAATCCTCAGTGAGCCAGGGAACAGGGAAGGGAGCATTACTGAGAGAAAATATATTCCAAATCCAATTATTTATTTCTTAAGACCATGAAATGGATGGCATATTTCTGGAACATTTGCTAAAATCTGGCCCAGAGTTGCTCACAAGTGTTGAAAAATCAAACAACTAAATCCTAGGTCATGATCTCGAGACACTTGAAGTTTGGTGTCCATACAAATCTTGCACAAGTTAAGGGTAATACCAGGCTGTTCCCTGTGGTTGGAGCACTGAGCATGTCAGGGATAAAAAGAGAGAACAGCAAGAAGGTTGGAGAAGTGGTCTGGGACTGATGTTTAGAAAGCTTAAATGCCAGGCTAAGAAGTTGGGCTTTTATTCATTATAGATTATGGAAAATGGCTGAGGACAACCGTCACCTGGATCCACGCATTGCAACGAAGACAGTAACTAACAAGCCAGGAAAGGGAAGCAGAGAAGAGCCCAAAAGCATAAAGGGCCAGAGACAAGGTTTCAAAGAAAAGCAAAACTGCAATCCCAAGTAAACCTGTATTAGTGGGAGTGGAAGGAAAGAGATGGATTGTAGTCCCATCTGAATAGACAAAGGCAGCCTTTAGCGAAGGGTGGAAGAAGAACAAAGAAAGAAGCATTGAAGGATCCTGGGACATAATAAACTCAGTCACAAGACAGAACAGGTTTGCAGAAGATGATTTTAGTTCTTGACACGTTACGACAGAGACGGCTGGGAGAAGCCCAGAGAAGACTGTCCTCAGCAGATGGAAAGACAGCCATCTGGTCATGGATTCCAGGAGGGTAGAAAGGGCAGGGGGAGGAAGGGAGCTCAGGGCAGAAACCAAGCAGGGGCCTTCAGAAACAGGATGAGAATTAGCAGACCTCAGGGTTGTGCCAAAAAAAGAAAGGGAAGCAGTGATGAGCAAGGATCCCATGCTGCAGAGAGGTGAGGCAGGGGAAGACTGAAGAAGCATCACTGGTGTTGACCATTAGGAAGGGGCCAGTGGTAACTTTATGATTTCCTGGGAGCCATAAAGGTGGAGCCCGAGCTGGAAGAGTGAATGAGTTCTAAGGATGTGGCACCTCATACAGAATATTACTTGGCAGTAAATTCATGGAGGTTAAATAGCAATAGGAAGGAAAAGGATTTTGGTTTCCTTGTTTATTTGTTTGGCATTTTTTTTTTTTACGTATAAATAATATTGAAGAACACTCGGAGCTTAGTAAAAGAAGCCAGAGAGGGGATTAAAAAGTCAAAATAGAAGAGAGATGACAGGTGATGAAAAATGAGGAGGAAAACATCAAGGAATCCTTCACAATTAAATTCTTGTTCACTGAATGAGCTCTGTAGGGTGGTTGTGGTCTGAAGACAGAGAGAGACACAGCCTGCCTCTTGAAAGCTTTGGAACCTTTGTTTACAAAGAATCACAGGAAGGGGGAGAATGCCTCATATTCTAATCCTTGTGCAAATGCAATTCATATTTTAGACTTGAGAGAGAGAAGGAATGTGATAAAGACAGAACTGATATAACAGCTGAAACAGGGACTAATTCCAAACAGACCAGAACAACACTTACATTTCCAAAGTATTTGTCCAGCAACTCCACGTAACGATGCACGATCTCTAGTGTCAAGAGCTCATTGTCCTGATTTTCTACAGCACAGCAAAAATATAAACTAGCATACCTTGAAAGGAAAAACATGGAGAAAGAAAAGTAAAATACGATGACACATCTAATAACCTGAAGATGGTGTGTTCTGCAGTGAATATGCGAAGCTCCCTCTTCCCCAGAGACTCTCCCCATCCAAATCCAAGAAAGAAGTCATCATTCATCACATCCAATAGCCTCCCAATATGTGAAAGAGAATATGTAAAAACAGTGGTCATTGGGTTATTTCAGTTAATTATATGAAAGACTCTCAACATCATTTTACCCTGAGGAACTATTATCAGGGAGACAGAGTCCTTGGCCCAGAGTAATGGGGGTGTCTGCTCATGCCCCTCCCCTGCTTGTGAACCATCCTTTCTAAACTTCAAGCCCCCGGCCCAGGCTCTCATCTCACACTCCTTCTGTATGTGACCCACCCTCAGTCCATTCAGTCCATCCTCCTGCCTAAAATCCTCTTTCCCACCCCCATCTGTGTAGTTAATGCCAACTTCCCCCCTTAGCTCTGAGCCTGGATGTCTTTCCTCTGGGAAATCTCTAACCTCGCGGACGGGACTGGATGCTGGGCTCTGCACACCCGTGCCTCCCCCAACAGAGCAGCTAGTGCTCTTCACTGCCCATTTCATGGCTTGTCTCTGCCCCACTAGGTCACTGGCTTCCCAAAGGCAGGTGCTGAGTCTGCCTTGCTCACTATCATGTTCCCAGGTGCTGCAAATACCTGTTGAGGGAACTGCTAAAGCCTATTCTTTATACAATAGCTTAAATCACAAATGAACTCAAAGTTTTAAAAAGCCAGCAAGCAGAGAGTAGGGACAAGCTTCTTGTTGACAAGTGCTCCCTGGGACTCTGCCTTGCCGTCCCTGGGATGCTTATTAAAAGGGGCTTTCACTGACATCTCTCCGGATGCTAGTACTAAAAGCTTTAACCTTGGACCCAGCAGAAGCAGCTTTGCCCGGGCACTTCCTGGTAATTTACTCCATTAAATATAGCCTGCCAACCGGCCTCTGTCTTTGCCTTTCAGGTTTTATAAACACCCTTTGCAAGAGCCTTCCTAATGTGCATTTTCTTTCTGGGAGTGGCAGGAGGATGTTGAATGCAGGGTCAGGTCAGCTGGGTTCTGGTCCAGGCTTAGACATGAATTATCTGGGCCTCTATGAGCAAAATGGCTTTACCTCTTAGGGTCTCAGTTTCCTTACCCATAAACTAAAGTTGCTCACCAGTATGGTCTTGCTATGGCAAGCAGGTGCAATAATGAGAGGATATATAAGTTTTAAAGCCAGAAGGAGGGGCGCCTGGGTGGCTCAGTCTGTTAAGCGATTGCCTTCAGCTCAGGTCATGATCTCAGGGTCCTCGGATCGAGCCCCAACTCGGGCTCCCTCCTCAACACGGAGTCTGCTTCTCCCTCTCCCTCTGCCTCTGCCCCTCCCCACCCCCGCTCATGTGCTCTTTCTCAAATAAATAAAATCTTTAAAAAATAAATAAATAAAGCCAGAAGGATATGCATTTGAATCCTGACTCTCCCAATTGCCCCTTAGTTCCTGTGACTGAAGACTAATTACTCAGAAACTCTCTGTGGCTTCAATTTCCTCCTCTGCAAATATGAGTAATAATGGCAATAATAAGAGCTGCCCTTCTCTCTAGCACCTTAACCTGCATTTTGTCCCATAGCATGTATTACTAATGGATAAGGTTTCATTTGCCCAACCGATGAGTATGCTCCATAAGAGCAGCATTGTTCCTGTCGTCTGTTATGGCATCCACCGTCATTAGAAGTGCTGGAAATGTAATAGGTGCCCAGAAGCTATTTCTTGAATGCACTTGTACATTATCCACATGTAGATTACATCCCTAGAATCCATCCTGGCACATGGAAAGCCTTTCAATAATTGAGAGTTCTTTTTTGCTAGTCTACTGATACAAATATTTGGGTTCTAGGCTCCAAAGATTTCAGTAAGTGATGCAACTGGTGTCAACTGGTGTTGTAATCGAAAATGTTCAGGATTGGGTGCCTGGGTGGCTCAGTTGGTTCAGCGACTGCCTTCGGCTCAGGTCATGATCCCGGAGTCCCGGGATCGAGTCCCGCATCGGGCTCCCTGCTCAGCAGGGAGTCTGCTTCCCCCTCTGACCCTCCCCCCTCTCATGCTCTCTCTCTCTCTCTCATTCTCTCTCTCAAATAAATAAATAAATAAAATCTTAAAAAAAAAAAAGAAAATGTTCAGGATTAAACAATCCAAAGCAATAATGAGAAAGACAGTTCTCATAAAGTTACTCACACCTTTTATAAACAAGTTTTAGCTCCTTCCAGTCAATAAAGCTGCTTGTCCTCTGACCACGAGAGAGAATAATCTGAACAATTTCCCGGGTGATCTTTTTCCTCTCTTTGTCAGGGAGAGTCGTGTACCATTTCTGCAGCCGTAATTTCCCCTGTCGACTGAAAAGCAATATGAAATGTATCTAGAACAAATAAAGGACAGAGAAAAACAGAACTTGATCAGCTAAATCATTCTACATAGACACTAGATATTAAATGGCAGCGTTTACAAATGATGATAATTCTGAACAAATGAAAAAATCCTCACCAGCATGAAAACTATCTCATTTGAAAATTACATTTAACTCATCCGAGAACAAAGAAATGTATGCATCCCAAACATGGCTTATTGATATGAGAGGGGAAAGATAAGAGTTTAAAAAATTATCCCTTTGGGAGTCACAAAGTTATTATAGGCAGAAAAATATATAAAGGAAGTATGTAACTCCTTTAAGAAAACAATAAAATCTTCCTTCACAAGGCAAAAATAAAGTGTTAATAACAGTGGAAGAGTTTACTTTAAAAATTACATCCCAGTTCCATATCAAAACTATGGCAACATAGTGATAACAGAGGGGGGAAAAAAGGGAGAGAAAGGAGGGAAAGGAAGATAAAGCACTAGGAAAGGGTGAGAAAGCAAGAAAGGGGCTACATTCTGTCTTTTTTTTTTTTAACAAAAATTGTATATATTGAAGGCATACAAGAGAGTGATCTGATACACATTATCTATAGTGGAGTGATTATATAGTCAAACTAATTAACATTTCATCTCCTCACGTGGTTACCATTGTGTGTGTGTGATGACAGCCCCTGAAATCTAATCTCTTAGTAAATTTCCAGTATTCAATCCAGTATTATTAACTATAGTCATCATCATGAACAGCAGATCTCTAGACTTACTCATCTTATAACTGCAACTTTGTGCTCTTCAACAAACATCTCCCCATTTCCCCCACCTCCCCACACCTGGGAATCATGGTTCTACTCTATATGCCTCTATGACTTTTAACTATTCAGATTCCACATATAAGTGAGATCATGCAGTATTTGTCTTTCTGTGTCTGGCTTATTTCACTGAGCATGATGTCGTCCAGGTTTATCCATGATATCACCAATAACAGGATTTCTTTCTTTTTTATAACTGAAAATATTCCATTACACACACACACACGCACACACAAAACACACACACACAACACACACACATATAAACCACATTTTCTTTATCCATTCATCTATCGATGGACACTTAGGTTAATTCTGTATCTTGGCTATTGTGAATAATGCTGCAATGAACTTGGAAGTGCAGATATCTCTTCAAGATACTGATTTCATTTCCTTTGAAAATACACCCAGAAGTGGGATTGCTGGATCACACAGTACTTCTATTTTTAATTACTTGAGGAAACTTCATACTGTTTTCCATAATGGCTACACCAGTTTGCATTCCCACCAACAGTGTTCCCTTTTCTCCACATTTTCACCAACACTATTGTCTTTTGTCCTTCTGGTAACAGTCACTTTAACCAATGGGAGGCGATCTCCTATGGTTCTGATTTGCATTTCTCTGATGATTAATGATGTTGAGCATCTTTTCATATATCTGTTGGTCATCTGTATGTCTTCTTTGAAGAAATACCTGTTCAGGTCCTTTGTCCATTTTTTAATCAGGTTATTTATTTTCTTGCTATTGACTTGTTTGAGTAACTTCTATATTTTGGATATTAACCTCCTAACAGATATATGGTTTACAAGTATTTTCTTCCAGGTGGCCGCTTCATTCTGTTGTTTCCTTTGCTGTGAAGAAGCTGTTTAGTTTGACATAACCTCATTTGCCTATTTTTGCTTTTGTTACCCTTGCTTTTGGGGTAATATCCAAAATATCGTTGCCCAGACCAATGTCATGAAGCTTTCTCCCTCTACTTCTAGTAGTTTTGCAGTTTCAGATCTTACATTTAAATCTTAATCCATTTTGAGTTGGTTTTTTTTAATAGGAAGTGTCAGAAGGATCCAATTTCATTCTTTTGCATGTGGATAACCAGTTTTCCCAACACCACTTATTGAAAGATTGTCCTTTTCCCATTGTGTGTTCTTGGCAGCTTTGTTGAAGATCAAACTAAGTGTTAAATGTAAGCTCTTTACCCCACTTTGTGGCTAACTTGGCTGAGAGCTTCAGAATAGACCATCTCATGTAACAATTGTCTTTATCATCATAATAGATTTCTAACAATTTAGATAGTATGTTGGCTATGTTTGGAAGCAACCAGATCTTATTTTCAATTAAGTTACAAAATGTGTATTTTAAATAAAGGTTTATATTTCAATGCATTTTAAAAGATTTAAAAGAATGGAAGACACCATAACATGTAAAAATTTACTTTGGTACCTTGGAGGTTCAGCAGAGATGCTTTTCAGAAATTGTCAGATGGTATAATATTTATTTGATGGGAGATTAAGTTTTCTCAAGGCACCATGTGAGAAGTAGTTTAGAATGATAATTTATTTCAGGATGCCTGGGTGGCTCAGTCGTTAAGCATCTGCCTCCGGCTCAGGTCATGATCCCAGGGTCCTGGGATCGAGCCCCGCATCAGGGTCCCTGATCCGTGGGAAGCCTGCTTTTCCCTCTCCCACTCCCCCTGCTTGTGTTCCCTCTCTTGCTGTGTCTCTCTCTGTCAAATAAATAAATAAAATCTTTAAAAAATCATAATTTATTTCATCAAGTTTTTGCTTTCTTTTCTTTTTTAAAAAAATAAAATTCAGTAGTGGTTAAGTGTGTCAGGGAGGGGAGAATGATATATACTGGAAGCCAAAATAATTAAAATTTTAAAAACTTTTTTTTAAAGATTTTATTTATTTGTTTGAGAGAGAGAGAAAGAGCATAAGGGGGGGAGTGGCAGAGGAAGAGGGAGAAGCAGGCTCCCCGCTGAGCAGGGAGCCCCACAAGGAAGGACTGGATCCCAGGACTCTGGGATCATGACCTGAGCTGAAGGCAGATATTTAACTGATTGAGCCACCCAGGCACCCCTTTAAAAACATTTTATAAATAAAATATTCACCTTTTATTGAAGAGGTTTGGCTCTGAATATCAGGGCATAGGTCATAAAAACTTAGTAGGTGGTGATATCTGAGGACCAAAAGCAACCAGGCTCTTTCCTCAGAGCTCCTCCTTCCTCCAACCTATAGAATTTGAGGTCTTCCTTAATAAGGTTATATTCTATCTTAGAAAGAAAACATTTGAAGTCAGGAAACAACAGATGTTGGCGAGGATGCGGAGAAAGGGGAACCCTCCTACACTGCTGGTGGGAATGCAAGCTGGTGCAACCACTCTGGAAAACAGTATGGAGGTTCCTCAAAAAGTTGAAAATAGAGCTACCCTATGACCCAGCAATTGCACTACTGGGTATTTACCCCAAAGATACAAATGTAGTGATCCGAAGGGGTACGTGTACCCCAATGGTTATAGCTGCAATGTCCACAATAGTCAAACTGTGGAAAGAGCCAAGATGTCCATAAACAGATGAATGGATAAAGAAGCTGTGGTATACATATACAATGGAATATTATGCAGCCATCAAAACAACAACAACAACAACAACAAAATCTTGCCATTTGCAACGACATGGATGGAACTAGAGGGTATTATGCTAAGTGAAATAAGTCAATCAGAGAAAGACAAGTATCATATGATGTCACTGATATGGAATTCTTAATCTCAGGAAACAAACTGAGGGTTGCTGGAGTGGTGGGAGGTGGGAGGGATGGGGTGGCTGGATGATGGACGTAGGAGAGGGTATGTGCTATGGTGAGCACTGTGAATTGTGTAGGACTGATGAATCACAGACCTGTACCTCTGAAACAAATAATACATTATATGTTAAAAAAAAAATAGTAGGAAGGGAAAAATGAAGAGGGGGAAATCGGAGGGGGAGACGAACACAAACTGAGGTTTTAGAGGGGAGGGGGGTGGGGGGATGGGTTAGCCTGGTGATGGGTATTAAGGAGGGCACGTATTGCATGGAGCACTGGGTGTTATACGCAAACAATGAATTATGGAACACTACATCAAAAACTAATGATGTAATGTGTGGTGACTAACGTAACATAATAAAATAAAAGAAAAAAAAAAAGAAAACATTTCTTAGAACAAGGACTTGAGAACCAAGACATCACAAGTGAGGAGAAAGCAAGTGTGAAAGCTCTGCTCATCTAGCAACTTTAAGAAACATCACCCTCAGTCTGGAATTTTAAATATCTGCTGAGAACACAGCATTTTCTTAAATACCCATTTCACTATCAGCCCAGGTATAAATAATTCAGTAAGGGAACACAGTCACTGTTTTCTAAGAATTAAACTGAGAAAGGTATTTTTACTTCCAAGAAGAGATCATCCTAAAAGTGACACTCTAAAAGTACAAGGTGGAAAAAAAATAAAAAATAAATAAAAGTACAAGGCAGAATGGTGATAGAACCATAAAACCTCAGGATCTTGAGAACAAGGCTCAGCTTTGGATCATCACCAATGGATAAGTCTATTCAATCCAATGTCTAGCAGATGGTCAGACTTTCGCTAGAGAAATGAAATCCACACATTTTTCTTAGTGCTCACTTTGCATTTCCTCTCAGAAAAGATTTTTTTCTTCCCATCTAACCTAAATCTCTTCTGTTACAGTTTAAGCCATTTTCCCCTGATTTCATCCACAGAGTAAATTAAAAGACAGGATGTCACCACCCCGGGAGTAATAACTAACTCTACACATATTTGAAGATAGCCTTTCAGGCTACCATGAATCGTCTTCCTTCCAGGAGACATAACCCTGGTTTCATGTTGTCTTCTTATTGGTTCTATTTCCAGATCTCAAAATCATGCTTGTTGTGATTCCTCCCAGATGTCTCCATAGGCTAAATGTTACTTTTAATTGAGGGGACTCAGATCGATACCCAAAGTTCCAGTGAGAGGCTGGAAGTAGGGCTGAGTTTCATTGTGGATTACTTTCTAGTTCTTCTACATTGCAACAGTCTCTCACCATCAGGCGCCTCCCTTCTTAAACGTGGATCAACAATGTAGGGCAATGAACAAAAAGCAAATCTTTATTCTAACAATGAGTTCAAAGAGAAAGGATGATCAGGAACCTGATACACACAT